GACTTGAAACAACTATTAAGGAAAGTGAAAGAAGAAAGTGACTATAGAAGAACCACACAACTTAAACACCGACGATGAGGAAATTGACACAGTTAGAGATTTTGTATATGTACCTTGGTTCAATCATAGTTCCACTTCAATGGAACTATGTGGATACTAAGAAAAAGCCACTCCCCACAAGTACCAACAAGAAGGCACATGGACTCATAAAACCAAGAGAGCAGGACTGCAATAACTAGATAATATACAGTACTTCTTACTTTAATCTGACCCCAGTTGGCTCAACCTAGTGGGTTTACTAATTTATACACCAATTCCAAAATGAAGGTCATGGGTTTTCTGCATCACATCTGCTTCTCTGGCCAAGCAGAAACATGTCTGCTTCGAAGAAGAGCCAAATGGAGAGAGAGATTGAGAGAGAGAGAGAGAGAGTATGCACACTTGTGCACATGGCACGTGCTCCTTTGTTTCAAGAACTGGAGTGCGAAATCCAACCCGTAGCTGCATCTGCTGTAACTTTAGAACAACAACCTCATCTCAGACAAATGTGCCTGGCGAAATTCATCTTGCTATTAACTTTATGTTTAAGGGTAACCTGCTAGCAAACCCCCATCTTGCCATGAACATTTCGACTTTCGGTACTTGCTTTGAAGAAGTGGGATTTACCCCTGAAAGCTTGCATATTGTATAATTTTTATTTTTTATTAAAGGCCTATAAAGGTATTGCCTGTTCTTGCACTGGTTAAAACATCAACCCAAATGGAAACTGCAGCCAAGAAATCAGAAGAAGACTGAGACCTGGAAGAGGAACAGTGAAGGAATCAGAAAAGATCATCAAGCGTAAGAATGTGTCATTAGAGATCAAGACCAACATCATCCACACTGTATTCTCGAAGGCCAGGATCTGATGGTTGTTGTGGGTTTTTGGGGTCTTTGGCCGTGTTCTGAAAGTTGTTCCTCCTGACATTTCACCAGTCTCTGTGGCCGGCATCTTCAGAGGACAGGAGTCAGAACTCTGTCTGTGCTCTGGTGCAGTTTGTTTGGATCATCTACACGCTTGTATTTCTGATCACCAGGTACGGGTATGAAAGCTGGACAGTTGAGAAAAGTGACAAGAAAAAATGTTTTGTTTGAAATGTGGTGCTGGAGCTTCGCCAATACCTGAACTACCAGAAAGACAAATAAGTGACTCCTAGATCTAATCAAGCCTGCACTACCTCTGGGTACAAAAGGATGAAACTGAGGCTGTCCTACTTTGGGTACATGATGGGACTGCAAGATTTTCTGGAAAAGACAATAATGCTGGGAAAGGTGGAAGGCAGCAGGAAAAAAGGAAGAATAAACATGAAATGGACTTACTTCCTAAAGGAAGCCATAAGCTTGAGTTAGCCAGAGATGAGCAGAGGAGTTGAGGACAGGTCTTTTTGGAGATCGCTCATTCATGGGGTTGCCATAAGTCAGAAGTGACTGGAGGGCACATAACAACAACATGTTGTAAAATAGTGCCACTAAACAAAACGAACAGTATAAATCAAAGTGAGGCTAATGCAGGTCCATCTTTTCCATTTTCAAGCAACACAGGCTGATCAATCTATTCAGATGCAGAAAGGCATATATAAGACGATGTTCCTTTTTAGCTCTGGGAAAATTACATCTACTGCATAATCTGGAGGTGAAAGTTTCCCCAGACTTCTCTGCTCTTCTTTATTTCTGGTCTTAGAGCTGTGGTGTTTATACAATTGCACACATCTATTCAACACCATAAAAAAGGGGAGCAAGGGAGAAGTAGACCTCTAAATAACCTCTAAGATTATAGCCTGAGTCCATTCTCTGCAGGAAGGTGACAGAACTACCATTCTGTTCTATCTGCCTGGAAACTACAGACCATCTGCTTAGGAAGAAGAAAAATAACCATGACTAGATGAAAGGGAGACCAAATTAGAAATAGGGAGAAGAAAAGGTAAGGATCCCAGCCAATAATTATTGCTCTGTCCAAAGACAACAAGAACCCGAACTGATTACTTGCTTCTTCAGTGAGATGTCAGGACTGCTGGCTACAGGCAGAACAACACAAATGTGATAAATCGGTGAACTAATCTATGAATTCCATGGAACACAAATCCAGAAAATGGTTAGCATGTGAACATGTCGCAGTGATGGCACCCCTGGACACACAGAATTGTGTATACTAATACTACTGTGTTTACACATGACAAAGCCAAAAAGCAAGCACATACGTTTGTTATTATAAGGAAGAAAAGGGAAAGGATCAAGGTGAGCATTCATGCCAAGTAGAGAAACCATGACAGCAATGAGAAAGGTCACTAAATAACATGTCAGAGGCATTAAAATATACAGACATTAAATAAGCAATTTCTAAAACAAAAATGAATTTTATTAGACGTTACTTACAGAAGACCGTTCAGTATATGTGTCAGCAAAAGTTCCCTAATTCAATCAAATATAGATGACATCACTACAATGCTAAAGTATATTTTGATAACCATTACACTTTACCATCTAAGACCATCAGTGTCAGATAGATAAGCGAATAAATATCATATTTCTAGCCTGCCTCTAGTATACTACTGATGGCATTTAGAAGCCTTTGTCACACTCAACATACTTTTCTGCACTTCAGGAGAAAAACACTCCAAAACACCATTTCCTGTGAGTTGCAAGGCTCTATGGATAATGGAATGGAACACAATATACCATTAAATAATTGCAGAGGGGGTGTTGTTCCTCCCTTAAACTTGTGGAAGAAACAAATCAGACATACATACTGGACCGATATGCAGATATGAATACAGTGGTGCCTCAGCTTACAAATGCCCCGACTTACGACCAGCTTCGGCCGCAAAATTTTGCTTTGACTTGCAGCCAGAGCTTCGAGTGACAACCAGAAAAAGACAGGGGAAAAAGGTGGGGAACTCAAATTGCTAACCATTGGTAGGCAAAGAGGCTGCTTCTTTGTAGCTCTGTCACCCAACGGTTAGAGTGAATGCAATCAGAGGAGGCTTTCGACTGCCTGGTGAGGTAAGGTGCTGCTTTGTGCTTTTAAAAAACTGTTCTGGGTGGGTTTTGCATCGTGGTTTTGGACTGGGTGGTGGGATTATGTTTCTGTGCTGTGTTGGGTCTTGCAGGTTTGTTTGTATTTTGGTGTTTCTCCCCCCCCTATTTCCAATGGGTCTTGGGGGGTTTGTTTGCTTTTTGGAGTCCCCCCCATCTCCGATGGGTCATGGGGAGTTTGTTTGCTTTTGGGGTTTTTTTCCCCATTCCCGATGGGTCGTGGGGGGGTTGTTTGTTTTTTGCTTTCCCCCCCCTCCCATTTCCAATGGGTCTCGCAGGGTTTGGTTGCTTTTTGCTTTGCTTGTTCTGCATTTCCGATGGTCTTCAAGGCTTTGCTTGCCTTCTGTTTTGCTTTTTTTTGCATTTCCAATGGGTCTTGCATGCTTTGCTTGCTTTCTGCTTTGTTTTGTTTGTTTGTTTTGTTTTTTTCATTTCTGAAGGGTCTTGCACGCTTTGCTTGCTTCCCCCCTCTCCTTCTTCCTAACGTTTCACTGTATTTTTCAGTGCTGGGAGCCAGGGTTTGTTGAGTTTTAGACTTTCTTCTTTTTTGTAGAAGCTATGCTGATGTTTGTGGATTTCAATGGCTTTCCTGTGTAATCTTACACAGGGGTCCTCAACCCCTGGTCTGCGGCCAGGTGCTGGTCCATGGCCATGGCTCCCAGCACTGAAAAATACATCCTGCAAAAAGGTCAACAAACTCTACCCAGCCACAAGGACTGGTGATCACTGCACACAAAAGATTAGCTAACAACACCCATCAATCACAGTGACAGAGACATTTTCTCCCCTTTATCACAACAATAAGCCCATAGCAAAAAAACATCCTGATCACCATAATCATCTCAGCTACTGAAAAGGACAAAAAGCTGATCCCATAGCTACAAATACCCAACAGTCCCACACACTACACCAGAACACAGAGTTCTAGATCGTGCCCTCTGAAGATGCCGGCCACAGAGACTGGTGAAACATTAGGAAGAAAATCCTCCAGAACACAGCCAAATTGGCATAGCAAAAAAACATCCTGATCACCATAATCATCTCAGCTACTGAAAAGGACAAAAAGCTGATCCCATAGCTACAAATACCCAACAGTCCCACACACTACACCAGAACACAGAGTTCTAGATCGTGCCCTCTGAAGATGCCGGCCACAGAGACTGGTGAAACATTAGGAAGAAAATCCTCCAGAACACAGCCAAATTGGTGGAAGAGACTGGTGAAACATTAGGAAGAAAATCCACAGCCAAATTGCTGGAAAAACCTACAACAACTATTCCTGTTCTGTTTTACTGGGGTATATCAAAAGTACCTACCTAGCCAGTAAGGTCTGTCTTCCCCAAAACCTTGGAAAAGGTGTGAGAGAGGGAAAGAGAGAATAACCACTGAAGAGTAAATCTATGGTTCCTAAGGAGAAATCTCTTTCTGGGAACTATCCTAGCATCCATTTCAGCAAAATGTCACATGTTCCCCAGAGCACTGCTAATTTCAAGTACAAAACTATTGCATAAAGTTTCAATATCGAGCTTATAAGCAAAGTAAGGTCAATGTAGAGAGTTAAGGCAGACATCATACAACAGGAAGTTTTACAAAAAAGGACTTAACAATTTATCAAAATTATAAACAAATATGTCTTCACCCATAGTTTTGTTAGAAAATAGTTTAATTAAGCAAGAAACTACACAAACTCTGCTTTAAGAATGATCTTCAGTTTAACATCTGTATGGCATTAGATCTTCCACTGAATAACTAAAAGTACCACCAGTTTCCTATCCCAAGTAGTCTTCTACACATCTACCCTTCTTCTTGTACTCTTCTTCTTGGTGCCAATAATCAACTGGTTTAGAATTCTCCTCCAAAATTCCTCTTTTAATTTTTTTTAATTCACTTGTAAAGAGAATTACTATCTAGCAGGAAAACAAATTTACCTTCTTTGCTGCATGGATGTCAAAAAACGGCTTGTTCCGAACGCTAAAAGGTTCTTTTGCTTTGTCAATTTGGCCAATCTTCATTTTGTCATGTCGGGGGAATATAATCTCTCTTTCTATACATGACAGACGAACATTAAAATCACAGTCTCCAACTGGCTGTCCCTGTCAAAATACAAGTATTTCATTAAAATGCAATTTGTTAGTTTATGTATTCATTTACAAAATCTAAATAGCATGTTAAAAAAATATTGACCTAAACATGATCTATAACTAAACAAGCACTTAGATTAGATTAGGCATCCTTCAGTCTCGAGAGACTATGGTAACGTGCTATGAATAGAGGTCTTGGAACAGCGTCTAGTGTGGCTGAGGAGGCCAATTCGAGAGTGACAATCTCTTCCACACTGAACACAAATAAAATATGTCCCCTGTCCAGCTCCCCGATTTGGCTGGTTTCAGGACTGCCTCTTTGCCTTGGCCTGCTGGACAAGGGTCTTTTCAAAATGGGAGAGGCCATGATGCACCATCTCCACCCAGGCTGAACGCTCAGATGTCAACATTTCCCATCTGTTGAGGTCCATTCCTAAGGCCTTCAGATCCTGCTTGCAGATATCCTGTATCGCAGCTGTGGCCCCCCCCTCTGGGGCAATTTCTCTGCAAAGATCTCCATACAGGAGATCTTTAGGAATCCAACTATCAGCCATTTTCACAACATGCCCAAGCCAATGTAAACGTTGCTGTTTCAGTAATGTATACATGCTGAAAATTCCAGCTCGATCTAGGACTACTCTATTTGTAACTTTGTCCTGCCAGGTGATACAAAAAATGCGTCGGAGACAACGCATATGGAAGGTGTTCAGCTTCCTCTCCTGCCATGCACAAAGGGTCCAGGACTCACTGCAGTACAGGAGAGTGCGCAGGACACAGGCTCTATAGACCTGGATCTTGATATATGCTGTCAGCTTCTTGTTAAGCCATACTCTCTTTGTGAGTCTAGAGAACATGGTAGCTGCTTTGCCAGTGCATTTATCCAGCTCGACATCTAGGGAGAGGGTGTCAGAGATCGTTGAGCCAAGTCATGAAGAACCTCCAATTCTTGTGTGGAGATGATAATAGAGGGAGGTGAGTCCATGCCCTGGCCCATTAACAGCATTATTATAATAAAAAATGAAGATTTTATAAAGTTGTTAAGTAGAGTAATTCTAACAAGGCATAGCTTGGACGTAACAACCAAAATCTTCTTGTATAGCAACACAATTGGTATAACTTTGCCCAAAGAAAGATACATAGAAGTGGAGTGAGTCAGTGTGTGAGTGACCAAACTGAACTAAACTAAACTTTGGAGGTGAATTGCCCCAAGTTAAGAAAAGACCACAGACATTATCAGTTGCATGCCTACAGTATGCAACAGATCATGTCTTCAGTAGAGATTCCCAATCTCTTCCCGATCAGCTGGCTACTCCAGGCAGGGGGAGGGAGGACAAGTCCCCCTGCAAGGCCACAGTATATTGGGAAAGGAATATAATGAGTACAAATGAAATCTGCTTAATGACAAAATGAGTAACGTTTTCTAGTTACTTTCAAAAACACATTTAGCATATTAAAGCGTTTAAAAGGTATTTTAGAGCACATAGAGTTATTTTTACAGGGTTTTAAGATTTAAGATTTTCTTCCATCCTTGTATGAGTCCCTCAGAGTTCCCTCAACAAAAGTAATGGGAAAAAATGAAAAAGCAATAAACAACACAACATATAATGGGTTACTTTTCGAATATGCAAAAAGCAGTGACAAGTTACATTTCAACCACTGCAACAAGGAAAAAAAATACATTTAAGAAGCACCTTTCCAAGCAATTCTCCAAGAGACATACAAGCCACTTTCATGGGTTCTTAAATTTTAACTGTTTCAAGGAGGCCACATGACTATTACAACTGTAAAAGAATGTTTTCCCTGTAAAGACAACCAGAAAGCAATCTGTAACTCTCTTTTCTGTATGCCTAACAGCATCAACACATCTCCTCTGTCAACTGTTACCTCCTCTTTTTCTGTTTCCTTGTACATCATGCTGTGTGATTCTGATTTTTCATTAAACTCCCACTTTTTTTCCTACAATCTGAAGTATGTTGCCGATCTTTTTTTTCCTATACCCAACCAGGCACTCTTCCATCTACAACACCACCAGATTGTTTTATACTTCCATCCTGACCAACCTTTCCTTTCTTTCCATACACTGGAGAGCTGCACACCCATGACACTGCCTTGGTTTTCCCTTCTTGTATGTTTTTTAACCTTCAAAAAAATCTATAAATCTTCTCACTTTATGCAATGGCAACAGCTTATAAAGTATTCAACCATCTCAGCAATGGATAAACTGCAGAAGTAGTGTGCCCTGGTCCATGGGGTCACGAACAGTTGGACACGACTAAACGACAACAACATGATACAATGGTTGAAATCTAATATTACATTGCAAGGAGTGTAGGCCCACTGAATCAATAAACTTACAGAAGAATTCATTGACTGACCAAATCCTAACTTATTTATTTGGACTGCTCTAGTCACAACCCCCTACTGGATTTCAGCCACTGGCAGGTGGTAATATGTGGCTGTCTTGCTATAATACACCGAAAGAACTAAAAGCAACTTTTAACTCTTAATCTAAATCAGAGGAGAGACAAAAGAAAGATAATACTGTAGTGTAAGCATCACTCCACTCTCCCCACTGTGTTTCAATTTCAGTGTGCCTTTAGTAATTCCTGTGATTAAGTGGAAAAGGTCAAGGAAGAAGTTATGTCTCACTTTTTTTTTAAAGACGTGGACATGTAACCTTTATTTTTCTTTAAACTGCTCTCTTTCATTTAACCTACAGTTACAAAACTTATTCGTTATGCAAAGCAGGACAACCTACAACACATTTTCTTACACCTCACATTTAACATAAATAACGATTCAGTATGTTGGTGCATTTTGTACCTGAATTCATTTTAATCTCAAGTTATTACCTTTGGATTTTAAAGTAACTTGCTGTACTTCTACTAACAGCATAGCTACACTTATCTGGTGCCACCAAAGCTGTAGGTTGTTGAGACATTTTCAACAAAATGTTCCTATACACATAAAATACAAAAGTATTACCATTTCTATGAAGGGAAAAGGACAAACTGGAGAATCTGACAAAAACATTATATATATATACCGATTTTATTTTGTTTAACCATTAGAGGTAGTAAAATGGAGATTGGAATGCATTTGAATGACTGCTCATGTCTATGAAAAAAATCACATTTCACCTGCAGTATGACAAGATAGAAGTGTACTACTTCATTGAGAATGTAAGCAATGTATACCTTTTATAATATAAAAAAACCCAGAGGAGTTCACCCAAATGGCCCTGATACCCCACATCATGTATTTCAGATTATTCAGTGGGTTAATACTATAGCTTACTATTGTGATATTTACATTTAGAATGCTAGTTAACACCAATTACTATATAAGTTGTGACCAAAGGAAACACATTGTTGCTGTTGTTTGGTCGTTAAATCGTGTCTGACTCTTTGTGACCCCATGGACCAGAGCACGCCAGGCCCTCCTATCTTCCACTGCCTCCCAGAGATTGGTCGAAGTCATGTTGATAGCTTTGATAACACTGGCCAACCATCTCATCCTCTCCTTCTCCTCTTGCCTTCACACTTCCCCAACATCAGGATCTTTTCCAGAGACTCTTCTCATGAGATGGCCAAAGTATTGGAGCCTCAGCTTCAGGATCTGTCCTTCCAGTGAACACTCAGGGTTGATTTCCCTTAGAATGGATAAGTTTGTTCTCCTTGCAATCCAGGGGACTCTCAAGAGTAAAATCTGTCAATGAAGCAGAAGCAGATGTTTTTCTGGAACTCTCTGGCTTTCTCCATAATCCAGCATATGTTAGCAATTTGGTCTCTAGTTCCTCTGCCCCTTCGAAATCCAGCTTCTACTTCTGGGAGTTCTCGGTCCACATACTGCTGAAGCCTACCTCGTAGGATTTTGGGCATAACTTTGCTAGTGTGTGAAATGAGTGCAATTGTATGGTAGTTGGACCATTCTTTGGTACTGCCTCTCTGGCTTTCTCCATAATCCAGCATATGTTAGCAATTTGGTCTCTAGTTCCTCTGCCCCTTCGAAATCCAGCTTCTACTTCTGGGAGTTCTCGGTCCACATACTGCTGAAGCCTACCTCGTAGGATTTTGGGCATAACTTTGCTAGTGTGTGAAATGAGTGCAATTGTATGGTAGTTGGACCATTCTTTGGTACTGCTCTTTTCCAACCCTCTGGCCACTGTTGAGTTTTCCAAACTTGCTGGCATATTGAGTGTAGCACCTTAACAGCACCATCTTTTAAATAGTTCATCATCTCCACTGGCCTTGTTGTTAGCCATGCTTTCTAAGGCTCACTTGACTTCACTCTCCAGGATGTCTCCAGGATGTCTGGCTCAAGGTCAGCATCCACACTATCTGGGTTGTCCGGGACATCCAGATCTTTCTGGTATAATTCCTCTGTGTATTCTTGCCACTTCTTCTTGATGTTTTCTGCTTCTGTTAGGTCCCTACCATTTTTGTTCTTTATCATGTCCATCTTTGCACAAAATGTTCCTTTAATATCTCCAATTTTCTTGAACAGTTCTCTGGTTTTTTCCTTCCTATTATTTTCCTTTATTTCTTTGCACTCTACATTTAAGAAGGCCCTCTTGTCTCTCCTTGCTATTCTTTGAAAGGCTGCATTCCATTTTCTGTAACTTTCCCTATCTCCCTTGCATTTGGTTTCCCTTCTCCTCTCTGCTATTTTGTAAGGCCTTGTTGGACAGCCACTTTGCTTTCTTGCATTTCCTTGGGATGGTTTTTGTTGCTGCCTCCTGTACAATGTTACAAGCCTCCATCCATAGTTCTTCAGGCACTCTGTCCACCAAATCTAGGGAAAGCTATGGAGGAAGTTTACCATTATCATGGACAGATTTTCCTGCAGATTTTGGTCACGTTGACCCTATCTGGTGATGTCCATGTGTAGAGTTGCCTCTTGTGTTGTTGGAAAAGAATGTTTGTGATGACCAGCTTGTTCTCTTGACAAAACTCTATTAGCCTTTGCCCTGCTTCATTTTGAACTCCAAGGCCAAACTTACCTGTTGTTCC